ATTTTTTACTTTGAACTTATCTTCTCTTAGCCAATCAAAATTTGTTACGTCACAAAATGATCTACAAAAACTAGCCAATCATAATGAAAGCCCTCTATGCTCTCACCATCCGTATTGAATTGTATAATTCTACGAAGATTCTACCTACTATTTATTTACTCAGCTAGTAAATTTGAAAATTTTTTCCTGTTAAAATAAAAATGAAGAAGCATAGAATTTATTCATTTTTCCGCTCATCAATATTCCAAGGTGTTGCGCTTTGTTGGGCTGCTTTAATTTTGATACTGGTGGCAGTTGTCCTTGCAGGAAGATTTTGTCAAGTGACGGATCTTAATATTGTATTTAATATACGTGTAGGTTTATTATTGACAATCACAACTATAATCACGAGGGTCTTAACTTTTATTACAGCTTTTATGTTACCAGCAATTTTAGCAGGTATTTTATCCTTTGATAAAGTACCCGCTTTAAGTGGATCAGCTAAAAAAATTTGTCAATTAATGAATGCATCGATGTCTCGCTGTTTATTGATCACTGGAAAAGCTTGCTTTAATTGTGGTCAAATTCGAAAAATTTCAGCTACTGTCGCTTTAGTGTTAATATGTCAATATATTATATCAGCTGCTGATTTATATCTCCATGCCTCAGCAATCGGAATTAATGAACAAGCACCTGGGCCAAAAATCACAAGTGCAAGAGCACTTAATATAGCAAATAACTGCTCTGAAGGTTTTAACTATTATTTTGATACCTGTGGACTATACAGTAGTTTGAATTATGAAGATTCTGGAGTGACAAATCCTGTCAAATCTTTGGAGGTATACAAAAATATAAGCAAGACTTTACAAATTTGGCGTGCTGACGGAGGTGTTTATCTTTTGCAATCCCCACCTGAAAAAGCCTATGAATACACTGGGTCTGGTATATTTTTAAAACCTTATTGTGAAGCGATTAGCAGCACGTGCATGTTAAATGAATATGATAGTTTTAGCTTAACATATTCCTGCCCCGCTTCGTTATGGTTCGCTAATGGAACTGTATGCAAATCACCTAATAAAATAGATAATGTAAACATAACTTCAGTATATTATGATACGGTAGTCGAAAAATGGATTGCATCTAACCCCATACATGCAATTGTTTCGGCTATATATTCTTTAGGGATGTTAAAAAGTGAAGATCCTGAATTCGTGGAAACTAGTAGTGGTGACTTTGCAATCTTGATGCACTGCAAAATTCATGCCTCAATAATTGAATATGTTGCCACTCTTGGGTCATTAAAAGCTACTCCGCTGGGAAATCTAACAAATGCACAACTTTTAGCCGTTGGCTTTGCATCAATAGTAATGTCTCAGTATGCAATAGATGACACTGTGGATGCAGCATTTAAAGAAAATAGTTCATCATACGTTAATGCATTTTCTCAACAATTTGCCCAAGCAACCATTGCTTCATTTGTCGGTGCCGTACAAGAGAACGGGAAGGATATTATTACATGCCCGAAATAATCTTGAATAAAACTTCAATACCACTTTATATTATTCTAATTTATACCATAGTTATTACTTTACCCATTTTAATTTTTTCAATTGTTAGTTTTCATTCTTTTCAAAATCAATCTGCTGGTATACTTGCAGAATTCATTTGTGCACCTCAAAGACTGTTATATCAAGTTTTAATTAAGGGTCACTATAAAGGTGATTTTTGTTTATGCAATTTGTATTGCAAGAAGATGAAATGTCACGATATAAATGTAATATTGAGGCGAAAGAGCACCTTGAAATTCATGTAGCAAATTAGAACATTATCATTAACATCACAAAGTATATTTTTACATAGATTTATATAGATCTATTATTAGAGATGTTCAATTTTGCTTGGCTTATATTGCTATCTATGAAAAATATGCATTTGTGAATTTGACTACATCAACCTTTTTTTTTACCAAGTTTGCATGAGATCCGTACTACGGTTAAATTTCCTTGCAATTCCAAATTTTTATATTATATATTCATATTCATACAGTCATATTCATATAGATATTTCTTATCTCATATTCATATTTATATCCATATTTCAGTTGATATTTTATGCTGATATTGCTATTGCTATTATTTTTACATGCAATATAGAATTAATAATAAAAATGGCTTTTCTTTGTCTTTTTTATTAGTTTTCTACCTAAATTTACAAATGTACTTCTGTGTATTTTTTGTTTTTTAACTTTTCTTTCTGGATTTTTTTACCAAACAGGCGTATTAATAATCACTAATCTTCAAAGATAGTGTTGTTCACAGGAACATTCCAGTGGAAATTATTGAAACTGGAAGATTACTGAAACTAATAGATGGTATCGGAAGCATAATTGCTTCTAGTGGCTGAATAGCTCTGTATCTTTCCATTGAATATTTTCTATCACTGGAATGTAACAATTGAAAAAATGATTATACAGTCTAACAACCAATTCTACTTTCAAGAATATAATTTATATACTGATATACCAGATATTTTAATACTTACTTCTATTTATACTATATGTGCAGTATTATTTAATTAAATTATAAATTTTATATATAAACTATTTATTATCAAAAATCTATTAACTAGTTTTTAATCTAACAGAAATACAAGCAATATTAGAAATTTCATCCTTACTTCAAGCTCTACTCCCTACTAAAATATCCTCTATTTTAATCAATAATTCTAATATATCATTTCTAGAAAATATAATTTTAATTTCACTATACAAAATTAACTTCTAAAATTACAAACCGTTTTTCAACTTTATCTACAAATAACTTACACTTATACTTAGATGCTCAATACAAAATCAGCTAGTACTTTGAAACAATATATAAATTAAATTTTATACTGTATTATCAATTATATAAAATACCAATTATTTAGAAACTAATTATTTATATTAGTTTTCCTATGAACCTGAACTGAACTAAACTGAACTTTGGTTAATATTGAATATTTAAGTCAAGTTTATATTTAGTTTAGGTTTAATATTAAACTTTAAAGTCAAGTTTATATTCAGTTCAGATTCAATATTGAACTTTTAAATTCAGTTCAGGTTTATAGGGTTTACTAATTCCCCAGTTTCTATTGGTTGATTATTCTTATTATATAAAATAAATTATTATATAAAGTAAAAGAGATATTATATACAATACCAATTATAATACACATTTAATATTTTATAATTCAGTAATTGGAATTTGATAATTTTACTACCTTTTGATTTATCTCAATAAGACAAATTGAATAGTCATAAAATCATCAGATTATGATCAAGTTATTGATGTTTAAATAAAATAACCAAAATTTTAATTATAAATTTTGATAAAAACTAATCATAATACATTAATAGCAGCATTGTTTTAAATAAATTAACTATAATTATTAAGACAATTTTGTTCACTATTAAAAATTCTACCTCTAAATTTTCATGAAAATTAGATAATTTTTTATTAATTGTCATTTGTAAAAAATATATATGCATTATAATAGATTTTTTTGGTATAAAAATATATTTTATAAAGTCAATTGTAGTTGGCACTGTCTAAATATATACTATTTGTAGAAACTATTTTGATGCATTTAGACAGTATATATACAAAATCTTGTGATTGATATCATTTGTATAATATAATAACAACTAATAGAAATCTCAAAATTGCTATAAACAATACTATAAAAATAAAATTTTTATACTATAAATTTTAAACTTTTACTTATAATTAATAAATTTCTTTTAAATATTGAAAGTATTGGAATTTACTAATTTTGAAAACAAGTCAGTTTAAAATTATTTATAGGCTAAAGTTCAGAATCAGAAAATTAATAGGCTTAGCTAATAATAAAGTTAGCTTTTTTGATAAATAAAGTTATAAAGTAAAATTATTTAATATTATATTAGTGTTTTTGATTGGTTTATTATAATAGAAACCAAGTTAGTAAACAAAATTGTATGCAGTTTGACAGTATATATATTTAGACAGTATGCATTTAGACAGTGCCAACTGTAATAAAAAATTATCTAATTTTTATGAAAATTTAGAGATAAGTAGAACTTAGCATGTTGAATAAATTTGTCTTAATAATAAAAGTGATTCACTTATTAAAAAATTTGCTGACAATACATTAAAGTTATTTTTTTTGGTTCTTTAAAATTTAATATTTAATTGCTTGTAACTTGTCATATAGCACTAAAAATGGTACTATTCAACTTGCCTCATTAATATAAATCAAATATACCAAAATTATCTGATTTAGATTGATAGAATATGAGATATTATGCATGTATTTTTTTTTTTTTGGCATTAAGGTAACCTCTTTGGCTGGAGAACATTTATTAAATAGTTTGTTTTTCAATTACAGTAAGAGTACATCAATTACAGTAAGAGTACATCAAGCCACATGTGCATCTTTTGGGTGCCTAATTTAAATAGTCTGTCTGAAGGTTTTACACTATCTGCCGTACCTGTACTCCAGCTAGGGGAGTACACATTTAAACTCTCTGACCATAACCTACTTTCAAACCAATAAATACTATCTAACTTGAGGCATAGCTTACTATACACAGGTAGTTTGCACTTGCCCAATCTGATTTTGTACCTACTTTAGAACTTACTAACTCCAATGGGGCTAATCTATCTACAAGGTAAACCTAACAGAGTAGTTCATGTTCTATGCATGCTTTTGCTAGCATGTTCAGTAATTTTTTTCTAACTAGTACGTGTTGTGCTGCTGCCACTGAGTTTGTCTTAAGCCAATCTTTGGGGTGCTACTATAACCTGATTCATATCTCAAGTACAATCTTTCTAATTAGTCACCAATTACATACTCCTGCTCTTATATGGTTTACAATAACCCTGGTACCCACATTCAAACTGTCTCCTTATCCAGATTCTTTATTGGTCCATCTCTTACTTCTAGCTGGTAACCTGAACAGGTTGATCTGTTCAGGCTTTAGGTACTTGAAAAACACCCTCCTCTTGGTCCATACTTTAGAAGTATATATCCTTTTTCTCTGGTGTAACAACATAGCAGTTTAGCTGATATGTCCTCTGCCAGCAAATCTGGTCACTCAGTTCTCTGATCTTGGGCCCAGTTTGAAATTAGCCCTCCTATAGTACTGTCAAAGATTACTGTTATATTATGCATATATCATAATTAGTCTATATATGGGGTGGAGTCAATAGAAAAGAGACAAATGGTTTTTAGTGAAATTTTTTTGATCTTTAAATTAAAATATCTCAACAACTAATTAACCAAATTTGCTCAAAATTTTTTTATTTTAATTTTGAAATTATAAAGAGTTAAAATAAAAAAACAATTATTAAATTTGATAAGATAATTGCTGAGATATTTAAGCTTAAAGTCAAGAAAACTTTTATTTAGAAAAAATTTGTCACTTTTCTATTGACTCCACTCCATATATTGATTTTTTCGAGCTTTTGAATATAAAAATGATTTTTTAATTGTAGCTAATAATTGCTTAACAATATCGAAGCTACTTAATGAAACCTAAGCATTACTAAATATAAATATTTATTAATAATTTAACTGTAAATTTATTAAACTTGATTGTGAAACTTTAATTTACTTTATCAAATTTACAATATGAGCACTACATGCATTATGTTTAATTTGTAGCATGATTCTTATTAAAATTTCGCAAATACATTTTTTCATATATGCTGCTAAGTCAGATACTATAAGCTTTGGTGCTGTAAAAGGAATTGCCTACTCAGTTATTAAACAAATAACAAGTTGACCTATTGTAACATTATTTATTGAATCTAGAGGAAAATCTACAGATATCAACTTAGTAACACTATGATAACTAAACAAGGTATTTACTACACTTCTTGAACATATATCTGTGGTTTCATCAATAATAATCGAAACACATTTTCCAGCAAACTCATCCTTAAGTTGTTGATATTGTGTTTGAAAAACTTTTGATAGATATTGGCATCTTAAAGTGTTAGCAGATGGAATTGCTTCACCTTCATTACAATATGTTTGTAGAAATTCACAGAATTTATCTAACTTCTCTATAGGTATGTTAGCACTAATCTATGCTTTTAATAAATTATAAATGATATTACTTTTACATTCATTTGTTTGTATTAAGCTTTCTATTGATTGTTGCCTATCAGTACGTTGTGAACTTAAGTATTCTCTTTTAGCTTTTTGGTGTGTTTCACTATCACAATAAGATTTAATAAAACTAACATTATTAAAATTAATACTATGATTACAAAAATGACATATAAGAAGGTTATTTTTTGCATAAAAATCATTGGGAAATTCTCTTGCTTAGGAAATAGCTAAAATAGTTTTTTTTCATATCATGTAAGTTATAAAAAGGTAATGTTAAGTGATTAAAAAATTTTTTTTTGGTTTTTTATTAATTATTTCATCTTAAACTGTAAATAAATTTTAATCTATTTCAGACTAGTACGGCTATTAAAATTTGTAAAATTTGTAAATT